GTAATAATAACATTAAAGGGCTCTAGTATTTGGACGTAGAGTCCAATACCTAACACAGCGGAATATGGTTATAATGACGCTCAAGGGCCCGTCGTTATACCCGGAAGACGCTATAGCCAGATAAGTTTACTCATATAGGTTTTCGTAGCAATAACCGTACATATGATCAGAGTTATTATAACCGGATTCTGTTGTAATTACCAAATCGTTGTATTCATTATATGGAACTATACAGCAAATTTGAAGTATCCAGCTGTTACAGCATTTAAATTAAGCTAAAAAAGCGAATCAAATTATCGATTATTATCGATAAAAATAAATGGGATGAGTTATCAAATAGAAGATCAACTTGTACTGCGCATGTTATATACGATATATATTATTCAAGCCTCAACCTTATGTAGCTTACGAGATCTCGACGTTTATACGGACGGACAGATAGACGTAGCTATATCGACTCAGTTTCAGGATATGTATGATCAGGAATACATATACGTAATGGGGTCTACCATTATGGGGTCTTACTTCTGCCTTTTGTACACACATTTACAAAACTATTGTACCCTAATTTCTCATTTTTAATGGGTTCAGGGTTAAGTAAGACACACATATACATATACATATAAGTACATACACATATAAAAACATATATGGCCCATATTTATAATGGCTCAGGACATTGTTACATTCATGGCACAAACTGTACAGCTCAGTTACGCTCGACCTTGTCCACAGATTGACCTAGAATGATAAATATACGCCCACTGCAGTATAATGATATTATCATAAATTACGCCCTCTCTGAGTAGTAAATGTAGTCTGCAGCCAGCTCACAGTGATTCACACATTTAGCCAAGAGTTAAGCTGAGACCTGATAAGGTCTAAGAGCAGAGTGAGACCTACATATATGGCACATGGCGAATGCTCTCCGAATCATTCAGAATCAGGTCTTGCAACCTTTAAATACGTCTAGTCTTTCTGCATATTGTTGTAGCTTGTTTGTTTGTTTTTTTTTTTCGGAAATGACATTCAATGCAATCGTGCGTACTTCTTGTCTCGCTTGCAGTTTCGCTGGAGGTTCGGTTCGAAGGTTTCCAAGTGTTACCCAAGCTGCACTATCAGCGAATTTCGAATAAAGTATATATGCGGAATAATTATGCACAGAAAAAATTTGAGGGAAAAAAAGAGTTGATGATGAAGACAGTCTAAATGCAATCTGAAGTACAAAAACAAATCACTGTATGATAAATGTATATATTATGTTGACATATAATATGATATAGGGAAATTTAATATAGCATTAAGCTAAATTCTGAATTCTCAGCTCTATGAATTAAGAAATATATCTATTATATCTATATAAGTATATACCAAGTATACAACTCTTTAATGGTTATATAAGCAAATCGGGCACTACCGACTGCAAAATACTCATTCATGGCCCAAGCACTGCCAGATCCATTTTCCGATTTGCCACGCCTTTAATGGGCAGATGGGAAAAAATCTTGACACTTCATTTATACTCTTTTTACTTTTGTGAATGAGTATAAAAATGTTTGCCTATATAACTAATCCATTTAAAGATCTCTAAATTCTCAATCATGACTTTAGATAATATTAGATATATTATTAGATTATATTATTTCAGAGTTGCTTCATATTCAACATCAATATACTCCCGTAGCCCGCATTCCCAAGTAAAGGGTATACGAAATAAAAATAACATCAAATAAAACTGAGTTGTTGTCCCTGAGTTGCCTGAGTTGTAAAGATGTTCGCTTCCATTTCGTATTTCGTATTTCGTATTTGTGTTTTGTCGTTGGCTTTGAGTCAACTAAAATAATACGAATTACAGACGGTAGCAACAGCTACAGCTACAGCTAACAGCTACAATTGCAGCTACATACAGGCCATAAAAAGCTGGCTTTGAAGCTGATAAACAGATAATGGAAATGGCCAGATGCGTCATCCTGCAACTGTGACGTCCGCAGGCATCACAAGTGCAACTGTGTCCAGAATCTTCCGTCCTATCAACGAGGCGATAAGCAGACCCAAAATCTATACTATGTGAAAATGTAATGCAGGCAAGTCAACTGTATATGTGCTATTTATTAGCTGCGAGAGATATATCAAATGATCAACTGTTGCCAGGCAGATCTGACTCGATGTATATGCAGCTTATCACCTACAGTTGCAAAAGATTTCCAGATGATATACATATGTAGATCCCTAAGTCTCAGCAAACCAAGTTGAGCTCCATTCGTAGTGCAGTTACTCGCAGACAAGCATACATATATACTCGTATAATGCGAAATGATATATACAAAAAATATTCATAGAATTGTATACAAATGAAATGTATATTGTAAACAGTTTTTAATTGCCGCTAGCCTTATCAATTTCCTATATTACAAGATCAAGAAATCTTTGTGGCCTTCATGAAAATTAAATGAAATATTTTGATATGATACATACATACATATACATATACATATACATATACATATACATATACATATACATATACATATACATATACATATACATATACATATACATATACATATACATATACATATACATATACATATACATATACATATACATATACATATACATATACATATACATATACATATACATATACATATACATATACATATACATATACATATACATATACATATACATATACATATACATATACATATACATATACATATACATATACATATACATATACATATACATATACATATACATATACATATACATATACATATACATATACATATACATATACATATACATATACATATACATATACATATACATATACATATACATATACATATACATATACATATACATATACATATACATATACATATACATATACATATACATAACATATACATATACATATACATATACATATACATATACATATACATATACATATACATATACATATACATATACATATACATATACATATACATATACATATACATATACATATACATATACATATACATATACATATACATATACATATACATATACATATACATATACATATACATATACATATACATATACATATACATATACATATACATATACATATACATATACATTCAATTTCATTTGTGTTACCCTTACAATATCAGGAAGGATTATAATTTGAAAAATACAGGGGATCTCGGAGTCGAGCAGTCTAGACTACAGATCTCTTACCTGCAATTCTTGGGGAATTAAGATCTGCTGTTTGGGGTTTTTTTTTGTGATGAATACACAGTATATTTTGTATTTTGTATTATCCCGCCTTCCACAGAAAGTGAATGATTGGATAGAGTCAGGCTGCTGCAGTGCTGCCTGAAACAGTTCTTAAACTAGTTTCAGATAATTCAGTTTATATATATTATAGCTAACATAGCTAACAATTATAGCTAATAGCTAATCCAGTCTTTCGTACTACCAGCGCGTGGAAATAATAACAGCAATTCCGAAAATAACACGGGCCCATAGAACTTACATAGTAATGGGAGCTTGAGGAGTTGTGGATCTGGATCTGAACTGTCTATAAGCTGGCAGGCAGCGAATGCTGCCCAGATCTGTAGGACCCAAGACAATTGCGTCCAATTGCGGGGCGGCAAGACTAATCGAAGCGGCATTCGCATCGAGTGTGGCCCACATTGTTGATGTAACTGTAAACCATGTGTATAGCGTGTCACAGCTGACCCATTCCCATAGAGAAGCACCAAAAGCCAGAGAGAGGAGAGAAGAGGGAGCAGGGACTGGGCCTGGGGCTAGGGTTGTGGGAACGGCAGCATTAATGCATTAATTGATCGCAGCGCCGCTTAATTGTGAGTCTCTCGGAATCCGAGTGGCACATGAAATTTGTGGCGTTGTCGCATTTGATTGACTAAATTACGCATTGCTTCAAGGACAGGCAAGGGGTGCGAGAAGGGCGAGACGCGGGAGCTAAGCAACAACTTGCTGTAAAAGTTCTAGACGCCGCTGAGTGGCTTGCTCAGTGGTACAGTGGTTACTCGTGATTCCTGTTTTGATCACGTAGCCATTTGACAATAATTGGAACTCGTTCCAATTTTGCATTTTCTTGCTCTTGTTTAGTTTTTCTTGTTTATTTGCCATTTTCCACTGATATGAAAACATTTTGCTCTTATTATTATTATTTATTCGTGATTTTGTTGTCGTTTAGCTGGACTACGTAAGAATATAAAAAAAAAAAAAAAAATGAAACAAAAAATCTATATATAGAAAGCACAAGCAAAAACAAAATCAAAACAGAAAAAATGCTAATGTTGCTGCTGACGATTTTTGTTTGGGGCTTTTGTTTTTAATGTATTTGGCTCATGTGTTGCGGCTATCGCCAAATTGTGTATAAAAATCGGTTTGCTTTTATATATGTAAGTATGTACATATATATTTAATTGTCTTTCTTATCGCTAAAAGTACGTATGTGGTCTAAAATGCAAGTGCTAAAAATTTGAATGTGCCTTTAGCACGACATCGATCGCAGCCGATAAGCACAGTAATCGATTAGTAATGTGTGCCTCTGCAGGCAACTCGAACAGCTGATCCTGCCGAACAGCTGTTGCGGCTGCCCAGCAAAGGAGCGTGCTTCGATTCCATGCGTGCCATTTAACATCGGCGTACGCTTGAGCGTTTGTTTCTATTCTCTTGTTGCCACTTATCGCGGCTGCGTCTCAAGCCTAACGCTCGCCGCCGACCCCTGGTCACCCTAACCCAACCCACCCATCGGCCATCCCATTCAGCGAGCAGCGCGCGGCAGCCAAGCACAGCTGAGGAGCTTTATTTATAGACGCATAGACGCACACAATGGCAAACGGGAAAACGTAGAGCGAACAAATGTTTATGTTTGCTAAAAAGAATTTACGTTTCTTGTTTTGGTTTTTTTTCTTCTTTTTTTCCCTGTTTAATATGTAATTGTTTTGTTTCTTCATTTTACTCACTTGAAACTGTTGTGGTGTCACTCTCTCTCTGTCTCTCTTTCTCTCTCTATTCCGTCTCGGTGTTCTTTGCTATTTATTCGGTTTCCTTTTGTCCGTGCTTTATCGTTCTCGAGGTTTTTCGACTGGCGAAATTTCGTTTCGTTTTTGTTTTCACATTTACATTTCAAAGAACAGCACCAACCAAAAAAACAACAACACACTCGAAAAAAAAAACACGAATTAATAACAACAGTGAAACGTAACGAACAATTTCAGTTACTGTTGTTTTTATATTGGCGAAATATTTGATTATCTTGTGGCTTTATTTGAATTATTGTGCGACTGTTGCTATGTTGTTGTTGATGTTGTTGTGCCTGAGATCGAGAAATACACACGCACGCACACGCACACGCACACCTACATACACATGTATAGAGCGTCTGTCTGCTTTTGCGGCAAGTTGAATGCACTTTTTGGCAATCCAACGGATGCGCGAATTCAAATACGAATTCGAGTTCGAATGCGACCGAATGCGTTCTACCGTTATATAGCTCTATCGACGCTCGCGCTGGTGCTGGCTCTGCGCGTACTCGTATCGCTCCTGGTTGAGCCAGAGATTGTGATCCTCGCAGCCGCTCTCGATGGCCTCACGCCTTTGCACCATCCCAGCTCTGCCTCCAGCTGATGATGAAGACGATGATGACGATGATGACGGTTGGCGATGGCGATGATGATGTTGTGCAAGTTTTTCTTCTTCTAGTTCTACTTCTTGTTTCTTATTCTTCGCCCTGTTATTGATCTCAGCAACTTTCCTTCAAGGCTGTCGCTGCCTCAGGCCAGTTGGAGCCGAATGCCAGCAACTGTGACCAGTTCTGGGCACGTTAAGGATCTAAACTGGGCTGTGAACTTTAGACCAAGACAACGACCACGTCTAAAAGCACGACCACTACCACGACCACGACAACAGCAACGGCACAGCGTATACGTGACGGACCGGTCTTTGGGAAGCGCCAAATAGAACGATGCCGATACGAAGACGAACTCTGTGGATCTCGTTTGGGCGTGCAACTTTCGAAGATCTGCTGAACTGAACCGTTGGCAAGCAGCGTTGAGCAGCAACTGTTCGGACGAGTCGAGCATTATTGCTGAGGCTGTAGCAGCCACAGAAGCTGCTGCCGACGTCGTCGTCGACGTCGTTGTCGTCGTCACTGTTGGCGTCGCTAGCGTCGCGTCGGCGATCATCGAAGATGCAGCCCCAATACCGCACAGTGGGTCTAATCTAAACTTGTGATCGAGTGATTATTTGCTATTCTGAATATCTAATCACTATTTTATTTATTACTAATTATTAAATTTTTAAACATTGAATTATTTATTTATGTGTAAAGATATACTATATATGATTTAGATGATAATGTTTTTTATTATTATTTTTATTAACTCGTTTCCATGTGTGTATAGTTGTCTTATTTTTGCAAAAATAAATATTTTAATTCACTACTCAATGAATTATCTAATAATTAATGACTTGTTTTCATATATATATATATAAATACATTAAACCATTTGTTGTCCATAACCATTTATTAAATAATAATTAATTTTTTGAAATGTCCTCTTATTTAGATATCTATTGTATTGTGTTTCTATGTATGCATTTTTCTTGATTTACTATACATACATATATAGTAGCCTAAAAATTATTTAATTAAATTTTAGATGCACACATATGAAATTGTTTAATTTTTTTTGTTTTTTTTTCCGCCATTATCTAATTAATTACGTATTATTAAATGGCTAATTAATAATTTAATTGTGTACATAATTCAATAAATTAAATATTAATCAAAAGAGTTCAGTAAAAATTTATTTCTTTATACTTTTTATTTGATTAAAATCTAACGAAAAAAAATTAAAAATTCGGATGCATATATATTCACTTATTTCTATCGGTATTTGCCCCACGGTGCAGCGTCTTCGCAATCAGCTGACGAGCGACCAAGCGAACGGCTGTAGCCCCACTCTCTCTCTCTCTCTCTATCCCGCTCTTGCTCTCGCTCGTACTCTCCCTCTCTTGGGCTCATTCTTTGTGGCTTGATGTCTGTGGCACTGTGCGTGCCTTGCACAACGCTCTTTTCGCTTCTTCTTTCAGGTGGGAGAGAGAGAGTGAGAGAGAGAGAGAGAGAGAGAGAGAGAAGGGTGCATGCTTGTATTTGTGCATTCTTCTCGCCGAGACACTGATAAGCGGGTTTCTTATCTGATTGCCAAGTGACACAATAAGGTGATGATACTGATAAGGACGATGATATGCGAACACACATTTGCTTTACGATCTGCACACTCACTCTTAAGCCTGGTGCGGCAAAAGACAGCAACAAAGAAACAGACGAGCCGAGTGTAAAATTGTGCACAGTTCGTCAAAAGGTAAACAAGATATTAACATACCTAAGTAATACCAGATATTCATATACATATACATATGTAAAGTAGTTATTTGAATAGTTTATCAAGTGGGGCTTCCATTTATATCATTAATTCACCAGGCATATACTTATATACACCTCTTTTTCGCTCAGTGTAACGCTGGCGCTAAGGTAAGCGTGGCACAGATGCTAATCCCCATTTTGGCTATGATAATACAGATTGTCAAATTGTCAGACTGTAAACAGTTCGTGTGCCAGGCGTATAAAAACTCCAGACCCCAACATTAATATTTCTCTGATGGTTCAACCAAACTGTGCTAAGTCCCATGTAAATAATTATCTACACATATGCAAAAAGTGTTTCTGTTTTATTAAGAAAACGAAAACAAAAAAAAACACACCGATAAAAGCTGGGAAAAATTTAAGATTAAAGAGAAATAGTTGTAAAGTTTCCCATTTTCTCATTAAGAGATTAAGATTGTGCCTAAAAGACTGCACTTAATCGGAATTATGGATGCTCGGTGCCATTATCAGCGCGGTTCGACTTCAGAAGAGATGGAAATGCTGAAACTATACTATACATGTACATATATATACGTCTATATAGATACTATAGATTCAATTATAGAGATGTGCCCTGGCGTCATGCGACTGTCAGTCATGTGACTCGAGAGCAGAGCATCAAGAGGCAGAAAAATAAATAAATCAGGAATCTATAGACAGTATCGGACCCTATATAGCTACATAGCGATGCATACCTAACCATATATACATGCATATGTATTTTTTGTATCTACTTATCTATCGACTCGTTATCGGCCACTCAGATTCCTTAATTGCTATTTCCAATTTGTTTTGCAATCGATTCAGATTGTAACGCAGCTACACATTGTTTATTCATTTGTTATTTGAGTTTCATTACTGCATTGCTATGGGTGGGACACTCGACACTCAATATAGTTCATATAATATATAGTTTACATTAAACACAATTGGTATGTGCATACACAAATTCTGCTCTGGTCATGGTCTCCTCGGGTTTCCGAACTGTTTTATCGCACTATCGGACTTCATTGCTATTATCTAATTCCACTTAAATAGATGAATATGTTTGCAGTAAAATCTATTGGGATATATCAATTACTATATTTGGCGTTATAATGAGGGTTTGATTTCTGTTGGCTCTGCAGACTTCCGAACTTTGAATTGCTTAGTAGACTTATTTCACTCTAGTCCATAAAACACCTTCATATGGATATCATAGTCCGTGGTAACATAAAAAAAAAAAAATATGTATATCAATGATATTATTCGGAATCATAATTGAGTCTACGCTTTATTGACTTATTGTATTTCTAAACTCGCAGTTGTTTCATCGAACTACTTACGAGTTGTGCGTTCAGATAGGTAACATACGGGCTGAAAGCAAATTCCATAGGGGTATATAAATTACATTATTCAGAATCATATATTCATAATCATAATTGGAACTAAATCCATCCGGATGACTAAGAATAATAACTATGTTTATGCTATATGAAGTTTGGATTAAAGACAGACTGAGAAAAATTCTCATTCAAGGCAAAGATAATATCGGTGAATCTGTTCAAGCACTTCGCATTTATAACAATTAACTGAGAACCGTCTTGGACTTGAGTTATGATCTAAGCCCAAAATGTAAAGCTGAATGTGGATTAATAAACTTAATAAACTTCGGGATGTGGTTATGCCAAACGTTATATAGAATTATTTAAACCCCTATAAGACTACAGTCAAGGGACAAGGGGCAAGATTCTAGGCTATTGATCTATTGCTCATTTGCTGTTGTTCTTGTTGTAGTACTCGAATTGGATGTGTGCGTCATTATGCCGTTATTTTCGAGAGTCAAGTACAATGACTCGCTATAGATCAACGATTTCAGGGGAATTTCACACGCCCGACCACCCCCAACAAAAAGTCGCTGTCCCTTTGTCGGACCCGCATGCAAATTGAGTGTTGTGCGTTGTTTATAGCAAAAACGTGATCGGAACGACTCTAGTGGGTTGCTCTGATCGAACAAGCTCTACTTGTCGCTAATTTCCGAAAAAGAAAACAAAAAAAAAAAAGCTAAGCAGTTCATAGTATTAGCTACAGTTGTAAATGTTGATCATCTCTCTGTAGTTTTTGGCACGTCTCGGCGCCTTATCGGACTCCGGCGCAGTCCGGGTCCCAGTAGCAGTTCGTCTATCTGGCTAAGTGGGTAGCTGGCTAAGTGGCTAACGAGCCCTGCATCAATTAGATAAGTGGGTTTTAGTTAGAGCCGTGTGCAGATAACTTGGCCAGCATTCAGAGGCACATTGATAAGCCACTTGAACTTTATGAGAGGGACCAGCTTCGTGACGGGAAGTGCTTAGAGCTTAGCGCTGCTTCAGCGCTGTCATTGCTGCTGCGCCGTTATCAATTGGCATTAGGCTTATCTAGTCGCTATATAAACAACACACGGCCAGACAACAACAGCACGAAATATAACTTGATGCTGGCCATTTTGCTTACAAGTTTTAGAGTCCCATTAAAGGACCTCAACACTTTGGAGAGTTTTTCGATTATTTCTACTCGCTTTAAAGTCGTCCTACTCTTATTCTCTTCAGAGCTGAGTGACTGCATTGAACTGTGTCCAACAAGCGAAGACGGCTGAGTCCTGACTATACACATATCCTTGATCAGGGATAACAACTGCGTCTATCTCTCATTGTGTACGTCCATTCATTCATTTATCTGGTAAACTGCAATAGTTAGATATTCCCATTTCACAACTAGATTACACTTGCTTTAACTCATCAACATCTTTCGTTTGAATACAATCGATGGTCCATCTCGATCTGGGGTTTTAGAATTTGTAAATGATATGTAAATAAAAGTGATGATAAGACATGTGCATGTGAGAATGTCTGTGCTT